TCTCACTGTGCATCAAAATGATGGCTCCTACCTTGCGCATACCCAGGGTCGCAAGCATCAAACCAATCTCGCACGACGTGCTGCACGCGAGGAAAAGGAAGGCCGGTCGGGGATCGATCCTATTACCGGCTTACCTGTCGGAATGGTAGGAGCGCAAGTCAGTGTTCGCAAGAACATGGTGAAGATTGGAAGACCTGGATATAAGATCACGAAGACGCGGGACCCGGTTACAAGACAGCAGGGATTGTTATTTCAGTTGCAGTATCCCGAAATAGTGTCCGATGTGCAACCGCGGGTCCGGTTCATGAGTGCTTTCGAGCAGAAGGTGGAAGATCCTGATAAGGATTTCCAGTATATGTTGGTAGCGGCGGAACCCTATGAGACGTGCGGGTTCAAGTTGCAAGCAAGAGAGATTGACCGCTCAAATGAAAGGTATTGGACTTGGTGGGATTCGGATTTGAAAGAATTTTGGGTCCAGATTATGTTCAAAACGGAGAGAGAGGAAAGATACAGTGGCGTGCCGGGCTTGGCTCCAGCCAGATGAAATGAGAGGGCATTATTACATGGAGTTCGTGGGAGTTAGTAATGGCTAAATTGTACTATAATATGAGATCACAGGAACATCACCAGGGACGGTGTAATCAAGTAGTTGATATTATTTCATTTTTTGATTGAAAGTGTAGATGTTTCCCAAGGTATACCAGGTGCATCAATCTTAACCTAATGTTTCTCACCATGATCACATTTAAAAAGTTGTTCCCAAACTTAAACCCACCCCTATGCCGGAAGTCTAGAACAAGGCTGTTTCGCTCATGTGTGCTTCCAGTCGAAATAAAATCGGGAAGAAGAAACAGACCGCTAGATGTCAGACGTCTAATTGTGATCTTGCAGAACATGCAATCAATGGTATCTGGCTAGATTGACTTTTAAAAGGCCATGTAATGACAACTAGGAAATAGAAATACTTCACTCCAGGTGAAAACTTGGTAGAATAACAGATATTCATGATTTGACCTATGTGGTAGCTGGACAGCTCCATGGCGAATCTGATCAATCAAATAGTGGAGATATGTACCACAATTATCTGTAGTTGGACTCAAATCTCTTGAATGTGTAACCAATGAATGGCAAACTCATCTCTGGTACTTCCTCTCGAGGAGCACCACTATGGGCAGCTGCAGCTTGAGCCTGCTTGAGATGGGTTGCGTTATCAGTTTGATCAATCTCGTCAGTTGGGAAGTATGTGGTATCAACATTGGAAGCCAGCTTGGGCTCGAATGGAGCACGAATACGACGCAAAGTATCGAATTCAACACCACGGAAAAATTTATGGCTCTTGATTTCGTCTGCTGATACTCGTCCGAGTCGATTCTCTGAATTACAAACAAGACTAGTACATACAGTGTTAGATTATTGACTCAAGAGAAAACAGTTAAGAGTATTCATACCTTCGAATGAGGTTTTCAGCTTCAGGTCCAAGTTGAACATCCTCAGGGAAGTAGAGATTTGTACGCCAGGCGACAATCTTTCGATATGTGTCATGGGCATCTTCAGCACAGAAAGGAGGCCATCCGACTTGACATTCGAACATGATCGTACCAAGACTCCACCAATCGCAATCGTAGGAATAACCATGTCCACTGAAAATTTCGGGAGCAATATAATCAGGTGTACCAACAGTCGAGTAAGCCATGACTCTTCGAGACTTTCTCCAGTCATTGATAACACTTCGATTGCTGACTGTGAGGTTGATCTCATCAAGATTGACAGATTGTCTGTTGTTTCTTGGCTTGCTTGATTTTCCTTGTAATAATTGTTGATAATAGGAATTGTCGTGTAGTTTATGGAAACCAGTGGATAGACCAAAATCGGTCAACTTAACATGTCCACCTCGATCAAGCAGAATATTATCAGGTTTGATATCACTAATTCAGTTAGTATATGAAACTGAAATTAAAGGGGCCGAAGCGATCCCCTCCTATCTTCAATCAACTTACCGATGAATGAAACCAAGCTTGTGTACAGCTTCAATGGCCAATACAATTTCTGCAATATAGAATCTTGTAATGTCTTCAGAAAAGATCTCATATTTGATAAGCATAGTCATCAAATCTCCTCCTGGCAAGAACTCCATCAACATATAAAGGAAATCTTGATCCTGAAAGGTTGTGAAAAGCTTAACAACCCAAGGACTGTCCGACTCGGCCAAGATATCTCTTTCAGCACGAACATGTGCTAATTGATCCTTCTTGAACATCTCAGTTTTAATCAAAGATTTCATAGCATAAACTTTGCCATCTTGCTTCTTTTGCACCAGCTTGACCTCTCCGAAGGCTCCCTTTCCAATGATCTTCAGGGTGTTGTAATTATCAGGCCTGTCCCTAGTTCGTAAAAATCGTAGATATTTGCCCTCTTGTTTGCCTGCATTCGACCATGTTTGTTCTCGGCGTGATTGGGATTGGTTGGGATCAGAGAGACGTTGCTCCATTTCGCTTTGTCTATTGTAGAGATAATCATTTAGCACAAGTATTAACATCAGCTTTTTTGGGGGGAGTATCTCACCTAACATTTCGATCTCTGGCTCTCTTGACACTATCTTTGAAAAAGTCCGCAGCTAATTGCGAACATTTCTTTTGATTGTTTTGTGTCAAGTTGCCATATCTATCAGGGTTTCTCTCTGGAGCTGCCTGAAATTCTGGACGAGCTTGTTGTGAAGCTTGAGTTGGCATAGGGTTCAAGTAGTTTGAGTAACCTGGCTGCTGACCTGGTGCTCCAGCAGTTCTTGGTCTTTGGCCTGGCGATGCTTGACCTTGACCTTGACGATTGCCGTATGGTGAACCTCTGCCCCCACCTAAGTTTTGATGGGAGAACTGATGAGCCAAACCATTCGTAGCGTCATTTTGTAGATTGACAGATCGTTGCTGGTAGGGCTGTTGCTGCTGCTGTTGCTGTTGATATCCAGCAGGGGCTTGTTGTTGCGGGTAGCCCGAGGAAGGGGGGTATTGGTTATTCATGAAATATCCTGCGGGGGGCGCAAATCCTTGATTGTATGATTGTTGTCCGCCTTGTTGAGCCTGCTGTTGCTGTTGTTGTGGCTGCTGGGCTTGACCTTGACCTCCGCCTGGAAATATTGGATTTGGGAAAGTTGATGGGGTCGTTGGATATGCACGATCGTTTGGCGCGAATCTGTCGTTTCCGAAGTTCAAGTGAAGGCGGTTGTTCATCGGATTACCATTGGGGTTATTATTACCGGCATTACTGCTGTTAGGATCCATCTTGATTGTATTGGCAATGGACCAAAGGAACGATACTGGTGAAACGAAGTAGTGTGGTCTTGATCCTGGAGGACAAGACTATAGTGTAAGGAAGTTGTGTTTGCTAGTTGTCAAAAGTTCCGTGCCGCCGCTTTGGTGCGTTGTTCTCGATGAATTCACTTTTGCTGTTACCCCCTCTCTTGTGATTTACTTTTGGATATTGATAATAGACGAAAGGCCGAGATGTTTGTTCACTAATTCTCACTGATCCTCTAAAAGGATTGAATTGAGAAAAGTTTGGTTGTGTGTCCAACAAATACAGATACAGATACTGTACAAACAACTTTTCTACATTTATAAAAGGGGGGAGGGATCATTCAGGCTTTTCCGCACCGTTGATTTCTTGCTTCTTCCTTTCCCTGGCTTAATTAAAGGGATGAAATTCGTTTGGCTCTGGCTTTGCCTCTGTAACATGTAACTTTTTCGTAGCGAAGCTTGGTGCTAGCGTTTTGGATCCAAAATCAATGCTTAATAGTTCTCCTATTGGTTGCTCTTGATCAATGCTTACTTTGAAAAAGGAAACCCAGATACTCATCAGGGGGCGAAAGAGGTGGACAAATATATTACCATTTGTCTCCCATTTATTAATTATTATATCATACCGTCATTCGTACTACGCTTCCGCTCTGCAGGCTGGACTGAAGTGAAGCTTGTACATCGGAGAAATGAATCTGAAATCCATTCTCTACCCGTATTGGTGGTAACCTCGATCTTCTGTTCAAGGTGTCTCGGGTGTATCGAGCAGCAGAGCGATGATCAAGCTCGTACGACTAACTACTCACACATCTCGAGAGAGATATTGGATGATGAACATAACAGCTGCTATATTGAGATGGAGGGCCTTCTATAGGATAATTCTAGGCATTCCATGCGTTCTATGCACCCCTTAGATGTAAGTCTCAGCAGTGGGAGGTGTGTTTGCCATGCACATTCCCTGGAAGGTCTAGAAGCCGAACTCCTCTTCCACATTAACATGTCTAGGGATGCTACACAATCATTCGAATAGCTTGCGTACATAGGACTTGTACAAGAGCTACACCATCTACACATTACATTGACTTTTGCACACTTTGGGCGCATCACGCCGCTATCTACGGCACTAGGCATATCAAAGGCGATATTGCAAGTGACCTTTGAGTCGGTGGTATAAGGTATGGTTCTCTAATTCTATCGCTTAATGGTCGTTAGATTCAAATCACAAATTAGTTTGGCACACAGTACCTATGTACCTATCCATCTAAGTAGACATCTTGAATGATTTAGAACACACTTTTCACGAATTAAGGAGCTTTAAGTTTTAACCCACAGTCCTCATCGATATCCTACCTAGTGCATGCTTATCTTGAAGGAACAGGGGTCCATTCTCACATGCTTTGAGCCTCCATTTATCACCTACCTATACGAACGATAACGATACGTCAAAATACAGGTACGGGGTTTATTTTCTGCTACAAGCTTTATACAGGTAGACAAAATTCACTTGTGACAAAACTTTACCCTGCAAACTCTCTATGAATCAATCCCACATGGAAAGTTTAGATGATAGATTAATCTTCTCAAACTAACTTTCTGATAGCTGGGAACCAAATTCGCCTTTTGGAACTAGAATTTGCTACCAATAGGGCTCGGATTCGTACTCGTGGCATCATGGTCGATACTAGATAACAATCTCAAAGCTGTACCTCATTATTGATCCCCATCATCATCAAGGACAATTTCTAATAACTTAGGATCTCTCGCCCAATCAACACCACTACCCACTATCACAGCACTAGCAGTATTCTTCATGATCCTCCATCTCTGTCTACTATTCTTCATCGCTCCTTCCAATTCATCCAACTGTGCACGAATATCTGGGTCTTGTATATGTTCTTTCCCCTGACTATTCGCTTCTTCTGCTAGAGCCAACATTTCTGTAGCCAATTCGATGTTCTTCCTTCCTGTAATAATGTTCTCATTGGACTCTCTCATCAACTCTTCTCTTGATGATTGGATTTTGTTAGATATCTGAGCCAGATTTTCGGACAGAGTATCACGTTTTTCGATGAGTGGTAGGAGGTCCCTGCTCTTGTGTCAAGAATGCCAAAAAAAAAGTTTGAAAGGGAGTATCTTACTGCTCTATGACCGAAGCATTACTGCCAGCATGAACTGCCTTCAATATAGGATTGACAATAACCACATTCTCAATGATTTTCGACCGCAATGAATAATTGGCTTTTGACTCGAGAAGGTCTTCCTCTGCCTTTTGGATAACTTCGTCGGTGACTTCTTCTTCTTGCTCTAAAAATTGTCAGGACACGTGCTTTCGAAGTTATGTATATAGAGATGAACCTTCTGAAGATATAACACCTTGAGCTTTCAAAAGAGCGATTTCGACTTGAAGTTCCTCCAATTTATCATACACTTCTAAAATGCGTTTCTCTTGCTCGCTCAAAGGAGGTATGTCGTTGGCTGTGCCAGTCATTTCAACTCCATCCATGCCTTCGGCAGCTTCTTGATGCGACATCTTGATTTGTAAATCTGCCTACGAGTCATAAGCTACAAAGAAATCCAAAAGTCCACAATCTGTTGTTCGTGGAGAACGCGTCTCTCATCATGCCATGAAAACCCCATACTCAGGTATCTTCAGATTGAGATTGGTTCAAGAGAGGTCAGCCACATTTAGTGTGGCACACCGTGTACCAGATAAGGTTAAGCTGCGAAAGCACATCCATGGATACTTTTGAAAATGCCATGTGAAATGGACCAAGCAATATATTAAGATACATGCAATGATATCAAATTTTTCTATCTCAAAATCGAATTCCTTTCAAACCTTTCAAGAAATACCACTGTACGCTGGAGGTGTTTTCAGTCATTCATTAGCTTTAAGTGATTGGAGTGTGGCTTGCCGAGATAAGGCGGCCGACCCTGAAGCTTAAGCTAAGTTACGGCGGTCTCGAACTAGCCTTGTGATCTTCACATCTTCAACATGCGACAAGCCATCTTCTACATCCCATAAGAGGAAAAGTAATTTGGCAACTCGCTGTAGCTGTGAAATGCATATACGACTATGGAACTTCACGTATACATTGCCCACACGGGCCAACATCTTCAGGTAGACCCTGGATCCTTTACCTCGTAAGTCTGCGATGTCATGTCTACCCCGATCATAAATGCTGATAGCACTCCAGTCTGGACGATTTTAAGTTATGGGTGGCCAAGTATACACCTATTGCCGCCAGCGATCACATCTCTCTTACTGCTGCAGCCAAAGCAGTGCGATTTCAAGCGCTTTCCTCAGAGGTACCCACGCCGACATTTCCCAACTCTACAATTGCTAATCTTGGTACAGCAAGAAATATTCGTATACGACAGGCGCATCATTCAGCAATCGTCTATAGCATCCGCGAAATCATTGATCTCTGAAATCCCTTTACCGCGCAAATATACTGTTTCTCGACCCCCAGATTCGATCACAAACGAGAAGGACCTACAAGCATGGCAAGACTTATTCGTCGAAAGACGGGCATGGGCTGCAAAGGTGGTGGAAGATTGTGCTTCCATGTCGGATCAAGCGCAGCAAAGGTACATCGAAACGGAGGTGATTACTCGGTGTGTGGATACCGCTGTTTTGAACCTGGAGAAGCATGTCAGGGCCTTGGACCATAAAAATGCCGAAGTTCAAAATTACGTCGAAGAAATGCAGAAACTCAATGTAGCTGGCGGAGACTGGGAAGTATCTATGACTCGATTAAAGTCGCTACCTGTGACTGCAGACGTTATTAAGTTTATCACGGGGCGTGACTTGTCGAAGACGAAGCGCCATGTCACCTTAGCGGACTTGGTTGATGCGGTAGAAGTCAAAAGATCTGGAAAACTGTTAGGCAAGATTTCGGGAAACCTCGAGCGTAGTAGTGTACAAGCCGGGCAGGAAGTGGACGAGGTCATGCGAAGGATTGACCATTTAATTGAGAAGGTCGAGAAAAGTCCTGCACGAGCGGCTATTCCACAATCCCAGGAACCTATTGCTTTACTGGAGGACATTGAGGCAATATTTAGAAAAGTCAATACTGACTGTGAAACCATTCTTGGCTTTACTAACACGCCGAAAAATATATCACAAGCTTCAAAATCGGCGCTTCTTCACACTGATAAGTTCTTACCCTCGCTATCTAAAAGAGCTCTCGAGATGGAGGAAATCATGCAGACCGTTACGAAGTTGCGAAATTCCACCGCAATATCATCCTTAGAGTTCATGTATGACATCGCCAGCTTAACAACGATGCTTGCAGAAGTCAACAGTCGATTTGCTGCCCTGGAGTTGGATGGTGATGGAGTCAACGCCTTGCATTTGATCTCAATGCTGGACACATTACCGGTCACTTTTGTCTCCTTTTTAGCTGAGGCAGTCAGGCGCAGTGAATGGGATGAGAAAGTCAGATCAGATTCCTCGACCTTGGCTAATGAAATGGCGAATTTCCAAGAAGAAGAAACGAGGCGACGACGAAAGTGGCAGAAGAACGTCGGGGCTACTTTGTGGGACGAAAAGCCCGAAACGCAAGTCATGGCTTTGGAAGTTGTCTTGCACGGGGAAGAGGATAATTGGCCACAAGCTTCTCGACGGGATTTGGAAGATATTTTAGAGATCCTTCGGGCTGAGAATCTCAAATTACCGATGCTTAGCGACATTTCGAGAATTATTTCGGATCTCAACAACCCAACGAAGCAGCAAAGTAAGAGGGCAAATGCCTTTAAAGCGGGAAGTATCCACGAATCAGCTCTTGGAAAGAGTGCTCTCTTAATGCGTGGGGACGACGAAGCCTTGAAAAGCATGCAAGATGAGAAATCAAAACTGGAGAACAAACTGAGAACCGCTGAAAGTCGAATTCGGAGGCTTGAGGATCTATTGCATCGGCAAACTCAGGCCAACAGGGCTTCAATCGGAAACGTGTTTTCAGTACCCAATACTCCTAGCCCTGATGTTCATAGTATGGCAAACCCTGTACCATTACGCCCAAATGACGACTCTCGTCGGTCTTCGATCTCGTCCCGACGCTTTTCTGCGAATCGAGGCGAGGAAGAAGCAGCCTTCCAGCAGAAGCTACTTTCTTTGGAGGCAGAGTTGATTACTGAACGTGAGCGCGCTTCAGGTTTGGAGAAAGAGGTTGCTGCCCAAAATGCCTCAGCGAACGAGTTGAAATCTCAACTTGAAGAAGTGAATTCCATGAAACACGACCTTTCGGAAAACTTCAAAGCACAACAACAAGATTTTATTGATGAGCGCAAAGCTTTGAATGATGACATCAAGCGTTACAAGGCAAAGCTAGAAGAGCTGGAGGACGAGATGGATAGATATCTCGGCTCTAGGGAGAACGAGAAGTCCGATGTTGATGATCGCGTTCGTCTCTTAGAAGATGAACTGGATAAATTACGAAAGGATAGTGCCGCAGAAGCCCAAAAAGCTCAAGGTCAGGTCGACTTCTTGAGAAACGATGCAAAGTTGCAGAGGGAGACCAATGAGACCTTGGAAAGGCAAATGCAGATTCTCAGAGAAGAGAAGAAGGAACTGTTATCCCGCACAATCCAGGCAGAATCGGCTGCTGAAGATCAGCTGAAGACTCTGCAAGATATTCATTTGCAGTTATCACCCAAGTTGAGGATGCCACAAGAGTTCACAGCCCTTTCGGGGTCGTTGACTAACAAATCACTGAGCTTGATATCCGAGCTTGAAAATACGAAGCGCGATTACAACCTTGCAAAATCGCAGCGGGATGATGCAGAAACGACTATTTCGGAGCTGAGATCCGAACTTACGCATTACAAGGAGAAGTTTGCTACCGAAGAGAAGCAATCACAATCCTTGCGCGAAGATTTAGCATCCGAGAGGGCTAAGTACTCTGCTCTGGAGGCCGAACTTACTGATGAACGCCTTCAATTAAGCTCCATAAGAACCAAGATGGCAGATGGCGAAACAGGGTCTGAGGCTCTACGTAATCGCCTAGAAGAGGAGGAACGCAAAGTCACATCTCTGTCAGAGGATCTTGCTAGACAGCTTTCTCGTATCGGAAGTCTCGAGGAAGAAATAAGATCGCATCAAGACAAGCACCAGTTTGCACAAGAAAGAGTCGAGAGACTGAACGACCGATTCGATTCACGCACCTCGCGTGCAAAAGACCTTACACAACGAGTGTATTCTCAAAATGATAAGCTGCTTCGACTACTTGAGCGTTTGAGTTATTCAGTCACCAAAGATAATGGCTCAATGATCATTCAGAAGTTACCAAAACCTGATCGTAGCATCATGAATGGGAATGATTCCTCAGATCCTGGAAATAAGCTCAGGCGAAGCATGACAGGTTCGACAACGATGAAAGCCATGGTTGATAGTGGAGACCTTGACCTCTTGTATTGGATGCACAATGACGATCCTGAAATAGAAAGTGAGAAGTATAACGCTTACATCAATTCAATCGGTAGCTTCGATATGGATAACTTTTGTGAGGTCATTGCAAAGCGGGTTCGGGACATGGAATACACAGCCAAGAAATATTCCAAAGATGCTCGTGCTTACCGGGAGAAGTCCCATAGAGCTCAAAAGGAAGCTCATGAGAAGATTGCTTTCAAGAATTTCAAAGAAGGCGATCTAGCTTTGTTTTTACCGACAAGAAATCAATCCACCGGGGCATGGGCAGCATTCAACGTTGGCGCTCCTCATTACTTCCTTCGAGAACAAGACTCTCACAAGCTTCGCTCTCGCGATTGGTTATTGGCTCGAATCCATAAAATTCAGGACAGAGTAGTCGATCTTTCCAAATCCATCACCGACGGTCGTTCCTTCGCAAGCACAGGTGACTCCTTTGATGACGATAATCCATTCGATCTTTCCGATGGTCTTCGTTGGTATCTCATTGATGCCTCGGAGGAGAAACCAGGTGCTCCATCTACACCTGGTCTCGCCAAAAGCACAGTCGCTAGTGCAAATATAGATGCAACAGCTACAATTCGTCGTCCGAAGAAGTCATCAAGCACGGGTGCTGAGGGTCTTAATAAGACTCTGGCGAAGAGTCTGGATAGTAGGAGAAGCAGTAGCAACTCCAAGAAAGCTATTCAGATTGCTGCATCGCCATTGAGGAAAACTGGCTCCACGGCTTCAGTTAGTGGTTTAAGAAATGAAGCGATCGGGGATGCGGTGGATTCCGTCGTTGTAAAGACTGGTGATGGGGTCACCAATGCAGCTGCTACTTCTGCTACTCCCGAAGCAGTGAACAATGAGGTTCGAAATCCTTTGGATAATCTCTTGGGTCCTTGATCTTTATCTCTATCTTGATCCTGTCGTCTCTCTGTCTTGTATCACTTTCAGAGTCTTTTACGTCAAGAATTGTGAATGTTTGCTCATTGTATTACATATTGTCTTATACTCTTTCTATTTGCAAATGGAAGCTTGTAGCAGGACACACGCTGATAGTGCGATGGTGTTCTAGAATGCTCACAATGTCCATAATGGACATGGGTATCCTGCAGCTC